GAACAGGGTCATCGTTCGTTTAAACACAGAGCCGGAATTGCCTGGAACTCTTTACCTGACACTATCAAACAGCTTGAAAACCCTCACTCTTTCAAAAGAAAGTTAAAATCGATCAAGACCTATGTTAGGGACATCAGTTTTCAAAAGGAATGCTCAGAAAATTATAATAAGAACCCTGAATTTAGATATTTTAAAATTATTTGATTAGTCTTTTTATCTTTAATAACTGTATTGTAAATCTTTGTTCTCTTATCTAGACTTAGTAGTAGTAGGTCCACATCAGCTGTACATTTGCTTATTTCAAACCTACTTAGCAAATAAATGTATGTATATATGTATGTATGAAATCAAACCTTTTGTGTGGTGGGGGTGTTACGTCCTCACGATTTTCTGAACCCTCCGCCTCGACTACAGAGCCTGCCAGGTATCAAGCCCAGACCTACTCAAGCCCTCCACCAGGCAGCCTCCTGAGAGAGCAAACCGAGGGAAAAACCCTGTTCCAGGTCATTAGGGTAGATTATGCAGGCCCCTGAAGTACCGCATTAAAGCAAAGATGGAAGGGAAAGCCTATATCTTACTATACAGCTGTAGTTTGACCCGTGCCTGGACAAAGACAACAATCATATGTTAGCATTGATTGACCAGAGGATATGCCTCGATGACCGAACAGTATGGGCGCAACATTTGAGAAAGAGGCTAGTTTAGCAGAATTAATAGCGTGGATGAACACTGAAATGAAATCCAGGGTGAGGGCAAAGGCAGCCCCGAGAAATTCAAGGCCTGAGGCCTTCCGTGAATTATCTTCTAAGGACGACAACTTGTGGACAGGCTTATCATCCCCCAAATGCTGGAAGTGTAAGAATCCAATCCACAAGATTGATCAGTGTCAGAACTTCATGGCACTTAATATGCCCAAGATAGAATCAAGGTTGCTAAAGAAAACAACACCCGTTTTAGCTGCCTGAAAAGAGCAGGAAGGGAGCACAGGTCCGCAAAAAGTTCAAGGAGAAGACTGTTCTGAAACTTCAGATGGAAATCAATACAAGTGCTATCATCACCCGCTTTTACATGAAACACTGAAAGCCACCGTTGCAACTGTTGCCTTCACAAATCGTAAGACAGCCAAGCATCAGGTAATTGGCAGAAGAGAGGAAATGCCAAATTTAAATTTGACTTGAGAATTTGATCAGTGTATTTGGTTGTTTACTGTTATCGTTTTTTATCGTTAGCGAAAACTCTCACTTCCTTTAAATCGAACTGCGGTGATTTCTTTCAAAATGAACAATAATCCTTATAATGCATGGCATTCGTGGAAAGCAGGCACCTATTAATGATTAGCTACAGCTCTTTAAGATTAGTATTGTGATAGGATATATTGAAATAGCATATATATTTGTTATCAGCATGAACTCTGTTTAAAGAAAGTTATTCACCATTTTTTCATTGTCATTTACCCTCACTGAAGCAATGGCGTGTTTAATTAACTATAAAGTGCTATCTTTCAGATGCTCCAAAGAGTGGGACATGAAAAAGACATGGACTTGCTGTGGCAGTATGTAGAGGATACTGTTGCTCCTCTTATCAAGAGGATTTAACCGGAATCTTCCTTCGCAATAAAACTAACCCAACGAGTGCATGAGATGAGTAGAGATGTCAAAAAGTGGAAAACTTTAAAGGGACAGGTTCACGGTTCAGCGCATGCTCATTTATCAAAATGCTGTTTTTCTGCTGGGACATGCTGTATCATCTATGCAAGCAATATGATCATGTCACGATGTTGTCAAAGAACCAATCTGCACACTTCCCTGGCAGTCACTTGCACTTGATCAACTTAAATATTTGCAAATAGCTGTGAATTATCAACCATGGAATAAAACCTTCGGTTCAACAATAAATACAACTTTGGTAGTGTTGACATAATCCACTTATTTTTTGTGCGATTTTGCTACCCCTCCATCCTACTTGAGGTTACTCTGAAATACAACTCTACTTTGAAATACACTCTGAGATCGCTGAGATACATGTGAGTGGGATAATTAACTGACAGAGTTAATAGTAAATTGGAAAGAAGTAATTTAATTAATGAGCATGCGCTTAACCATTGCCTGATTTCATACCGTGGGAGCCTGGCACTAGTTATCGGTTTTGCCAGACGGAAGTGCACTTCAGTTTGATGGCGCAGAGATGGCGACTTACACGAAAACTTGGCATTGGAATTGTGCCAGTTCTTTGTGTACGAATAATTACAGAACTAAAGGAATAACGTACTGCACTTTGCCCAGCAATCCTGAGCTTCAAAAAGGATATGGGAAAGTTCTTATGAACAAAAATATCAACTGGAGAAAACATGTTATAGACAGCGCCCACTGGAGCTCGGGGAAACGAGAGAACAAGAATCAATTGCCAGACATAATTTGTACAAAAGAATATGCCGATAATCTGGAAAAAGAGTACTCCCAAAAACCATCTAGGGAATTGAAAAGGAAAATTGACTGTACAAAAACGGCTCTTACTTCGTCACATGCCAATACCGTGAGGAGTACTCCAAGGAAACCCCCGAAAGACAGGAGTGAAACTCCCGTACTGCGTGTTAAAAAGCGACGGGTTTCAGCTGCGAACGTAGAAAAAGAAGATAAGAAGCTTAAAAGTCAAGTGGAAAAGTTTGACGAGAGAACTAAATGAAAAAAAGGCTGATTGAAGATTTACAGCAACAGCTGTCAAAGACTCAATCAGAACTTGAAAAAAAATGCTGCGAACAACAGTCAGCAACTCAATGCAATGAAGAAAGCACTCGAAGGCCAAACTTTTAGTTATCAAGGACTCATGAGATACCCAGATAGAATTTACTATATGACAGGATTATCACTTTCCGAATTAGGTTGTCTATATGAATGTTTGTAGCCTTTCATGCACACAATTCTTTATCCTGATTGTAACAATGACGACTCGTCCCATCTTAGAAAGCTGGACACAAAGACAGAACTTATCAGTTTCTTGACAATTTGTAGACATGCATTGGACCTTGCTGTTATTGCATGGATGACTGGTTCAAGTATATCAACTATGAGTAGAATTGTTGTAGGAGTGTGTATTCATGAGCACCATTTTTGAGTCTATTGACCTAACCCCATTACCTGGATTTTTAAATGACTATATGCCAAAATGCTTTATGGAGTCAGGATATGGTGATACTGCTCTCATAGGGGATGCAACTGAAATTTAGATCTCCCAATCAGAGAACTTTGATATTAATAATATTACATTCTCGAACTACAAGAAACACACTACAGGGAAGATATGTTTGTGGACCCTTCCTCCTGGTTTTTTTACTCAAATGTACCGATGCATTTCCTGGCAGCATTAGTGATGCTGATATAACAGAGCAATCGTTTGTGCTAGATACAGTCACAAAAGGGAAGACAGTTATGACTGACAAGGGCTTTAATATCACAGATATCTGTCATGAGAAAGGCATGTTACACAATAGACCTCCAATGAAATTTTCTCATCAATTTGATGAGACTGAGGTCGTAAAGAACTTTAATATTGCAACATTGAGGATCTATATTAAAAACTACATAGGAAGAATTAGAGATTGGCAAATTCTAAGCAAAACTTGGCCAAGCTCAAGAATTGATTTACTTGGTTGAAGTTTCCAAATATTTGCACATATCGTTAATATGTTAAAAAAACCAGTTGGACCAAAATAAAAAAAACTACAACTAGTTCCAAAAAACTCGGTTGATATTACATGACTATGTTTTCACAAAGACTACCTTCTTTATATGCTTTGTCATTTGGTTTACCCACTTACGGAATTGACGTAATGTGTCAAAGCTAGGAACAGTATTTAATAAGTTCTTTCCAAGTTAAGAGAGATGGTTATTCTCTTCAGAATCCCACATACTTATAATTTTGTGGTGTAAAATATGATCAGTTATTTCTTTTAAGACATCTACAAACAGGTCATTTCTGGGTATGAAAAATATATTTGAACTTTTCTTTTCAGGGAGATAAGATTGCAAAAATACAAGATTTGCTCCTGCACAAGACATCTGAAAATTTGCTTGAATAATATGTGAGCCTGTGATTTTGCCTAATGGGGCTTCAGAGTTTTCTGCTCTTGTGTTGACCTCAACGAGAAATGCTTCTGAAATACCATCAGGACTTGCTCCATAGTTTCTGTCTGATGGATGTCTGAAAAACCCACAACTTGAGACTGGGACACCTGTAGGAAAAAATAGAAATCAATACATGATTACTCAAACTTACATTAATTTTTGTGCTTACATTTCTGTTCATGTAAGTGTATTCCTATTTGATTATGTTATGTACATGATTAACTGCATGATATGCTGGTAATATACTTATTTGCTAAATTTCAGAGTGCTGTGTTACTATTAATATCTTCGAATAAACTTACTTACCAGAGAGTTTCTGAAAGTGCTCTGAAGCTTCTTTTTCATAGTAGTTTCCTCTTTGAAAGTTTCTGTATTGCTTTGGTTTACATTTACTTTCATCTATCTTGTTTAGAATATAAAACCATGATGAATCAAACTCTTTGTTTCCCGGAAAACCCAGGAGTGATGGTAGTTTACTTGCTGATATTACCCGCGTCCTCAGGTTAAGCTAGTCAGAAGTGCCTTGTTGAACATCAATGTATCTTGCACTTGTAGTTGGTCTGACTTCTTTAAGGTGAGGGACCTTAACGGTTATAATCTCATCTTTAGAGTTTGCAATTCTAACAACTCTTGAGTTTTATCTGCACATCATATTTGCTCTTGACATTCTGAAGAAGGCTGTCCCACTGTGCAATTATCTTGGTTGAAGTTGTTAGAGTTGGTTGTCAATGAAGAGTGCCATTTATCCTCATACTCAGAAGGTGTTTTGGAGTTTTGTTCCAGGTTTGCTGGAGGATTTAGTTTTGTGTAGTCATGTTTATTTTGTATAACTCTGTTCAGATAAGCATTTTTGTAGGACAAATTGTAATACAACCCTGATTATCTTATTTCAAATTTCTCTAGAGTTTTAAGAACATGATTTGATAAATTGACTCTGCATTTAGACAGGCCATCTACTACTTGAGAGCTCATGGAGGAAATATCTCGTTTCAGCCAGTTACTGTTTTCATCACTTACATCTCTAGCTACAACTTTCTTCTTTGATTCACATGTCTTGCTGATTTGGCATTTCTAAAATATTTGAGTCTGATATGAGAAGCAGCCTTCGAGTTAGCTTTTACCTCTTTCCCTTTCTTGAAATTTGGTCGATGCCACTTTTGAAGCTTCTCTGTACAGGTCAAAGACAAAAACAGCTTTTTATGTGTTGCGAAGTGTTCTAACTGTAGAAGTATAACGATAACATGACAACAGAGACCACACTTTCCGACAGCACATTCCCAAAAACCTTTCTTGGGAACATTGTCAATGAACAAGACAGTTGCAGTTCGTGTAACTTCAGAAGAAAAGCTGTTCAATATGCTTGGCATGACAAATAACTGGCTACCATTTTTGAAAACCTCGATGGTTTTCATTCGTCTTGAAGAAAACATTCAATGAGCTTTGCGAAATTGTCCTATCATTCCTTGTCGTTTATTAGACTGATACGTCTTGATAACGTCTTTTGAAATCTTGAGAAAGAGAGAAGTATTGCATTTCCATCCAGCTGTTGGTGGTGGGATCTCCTGTCAATAGGGCTGTCGTAAAGCTGTACTTCACAGAGATGTTCTTCATTCTGTTGTTGAGCAAAGCCGGGTCATCTTTAAATCGTAGCAATCTTTGTAACAATTCACTTTTAGTCCCGGAAGCTTTAAGTTTTAGACAATTACAAATTTCTCCCAAGTTTTTTGTGTTGAGTGATTCAAGGCAATCATCATTTATGACTTTTTTTACTGCTGCAAAAGCCATTTTGGGCGAGACTTCTTTCACATTTCCCGCCATCTTTTTTCACTTCCGTCCGGCAAAACTGATAACTAGTGCCAGGCTCCCATGGTATGAAATCAGGCAATGAACCTGTCCCTTTAACTAAAAAGATGAGCACATTCAAACCCAGAGAGGTAAACATGCAATTATTACAGTCTATTATATGCTAGCTGTGCATACAGCCACCGCTTATCAACACCCATTCCACCTCTCATCACTCCCGGCCACTAACAGATGCCTTTCTACAGGGATCGCACTCTTTTAAGCTCCTTGAATTCCAGGAAATTCCATGACTTTTTCCATGACCTTAGATTTAGATGTCACTTTTTACCAATTTCTAAAGCTTGTGTGTTTGGATCTTAAACAGTTCAACAGACAAGCTCTAGTGGTGACCTAAATGCGTGCCGCTTGTGCTGTTCGATCATTTCTCAGTAACTAATCTACCAAACAAAACTTAAATTTTCCATGACTTTCAAGAACTGACAATTAAAATCCATGACTAACCAGGCCTGGAAAATGGAATTCTTAAATTCCATGACTTTCCAGGTTTTCCATTTCCCGTGCAAACCGTTTTTCTAGTGGGTGGGTTGATGAGAGCCAGCTGTATAGATTCCAAAGCTATAGACAAGATATTAACTAATGGTATTAATCAGCCAAACAAAAATCTGTCGGCCTAGACCCGGTTGTTCGAAAATTAACTCACCCAAATCACTGAAGTGGTAAAAGTTTGCTGAGCACTGTATGATGAAATTCTTGTTTTCAAAATTCTTTTTTGAGAGAGTAAATTTAAAGCTATACATGTCAACATACTGAGTTGAAACTGAAAGGTGTGAAAATATCTCACTCAATTACGTTGTAAAAGTAAGCGGGTTCAGTTATATTTCACGCTCATTTTTTAAATTTAAGTCAGCAGAGGTATGAAGTTATACGCCTGGTCACATCTGTTTGGAATTAGTAACTGTCTAAAAAAGAACACAAGAGCAGCAGGTTCGGTACAACAGTACTAGGTGGAACTCTGCCTTATTAATTGGTTTTAAACACACTGTAGGACAAAATAATCCAGTCCTGAAATACACTTAGTCACCATTGTAATCGTGTTAAATTGTCATCAAAATAGTACTTTATTCTCTCGTAGGTGTCGTATGTTGGCACAAAAATAAAAAAAGGAGTGGATTGCATCGGTCTTTCCCTTAACTTTCTCAGTGCAGCTCTGGGCACTCCGAACGACAAGATATGTATTCAACAAATGGAATCTGCCATTGATAACCAGGTGCAGCTGACATCACACAAAACCTGTCAGGGGTTTTTGAGTCCAGAATTCGACGAAGATCATATTAAGGCCACATGTTTATTCATAACTAAACAACCTGTGCATGCCGGGTAAGAATTGGTCTCTGGAAGTTAAGTAGAACAGCACAGTTATCACTGTACGTTAGATTAGATCCATTCTCATGGCGAACGATTACGTATGCCAATCCCAGCTCGATGTCTAATCTTCAACACAAATTTCTGCAAATAATGAAAGGTGCAAATGTCGTTGGTAGAACCCAACCCCAACTTTTGAGGACATTAGGACTACCCAAACATCTTTTGCCAGCTTCTTTAAAGCTAATTGCCCAAGGAATTCAAGCTTCAGACGAATGTTTCAATAAAATAACAATAATCACAAAATTAATTAAAATTAAATTAAATTAAAGGCAGATTGATTAAAGGCAGATTGAAACTGTAGAGATAACTAATCAGTCATTGAGTGAATATACATCACATTGTTTTCATCTACACAGCATTGCACAGTTTTATGCAGCACCTCTCCCCCTTCCCCAAACCCACCATAGTTCACTCGTGGAAATAATTTTGTTGGAAATTCGAATTGATTGCACGAAAATGTTAGGGTAGGCCAAAGCGTGGTGCGAAGAAATTGAATAAAATGACATCTGAAGCGCTTCCGGTACATGCGCGGAAACACATTCCTACATTTCCATTAATAAGTTGTGCTCGTATTTTGGCGTGATCAAAACGAAAAGACTGGGCGTGTGGACATAATTTGGGTCGCAGCTGGCATCCTTTGAGGACGTGTCGATATCCTCTTCATTCAGGAGCAAGGAAAAGATAAAAAATGATCATGTTATCAACTTGGAGATGTCAAAGAATATTCACGCAATTTTTAAAATTACAATTCCCATTGGGTCAGGCAAGCATTCTATTAAACAATATTTTATGTTTTCCCTTTTTTGAGGAGCAACGATTGGCACAGTTAGTTATTGCGTAGCTATGGTGTCTTCCGTGTGAGAGGTCTCGAGATTGATGCTCATGGCCAGGTGTGTAGCTTCAAGTAGCTTTAAATACCCGTAAAACGGGGTACTGATGAAGACGGGGTTTAAAAAGGTTTGTCTTTCAGATAATGACGAAATGATCATTTCAAAGTACCAATATATGTGAGGCGCCTTTACTTTTTAACTTTCAACAGAATAAAAGAACTCTGAAAACCAAGGTAAATGTCATGGTCAAGTATTCCTAATTGTGTAACAAACTGTAAATCTAATTATAAGTAAAGACTAAAAAAGAAGGTAGATGGAATAACCGATAAACGTTGTTGTAAAACCTTGAAAGGAAATCGTTCCATAAGGTCTTTATTTTTACGGCTATTTATATCATAACCAGTTATATTTTTTTGGCAACAATGATACGATGTAGTTGTAGAAATCTTGGATTGAGTAAATAACAAGTATGAAACGAACATTCTCGTTTTGCATTGTTTGGTCAAGCTCGTTTTAGTATAATTAGGACAAGTATATTTATTACAACAGAGATGTTCAGTAATACACAATTATTCCTGGATTCTATTTCGTCACCACTGCCACAGGGATCCCATGAGATTGCAGTACGCATGCGCACGTCAGTGCTTTTGCTTCGCGTGTTCAGGAAAGAAGCAAAAATTTTTCTTGAGCGTTTATCTACAATTATATCGTCCATTTCTACCTTTTTCACGTCAAATTCACAGGAATACTGTTTAGTGAACCTTATCAACTTCTACACAATGACAGAAGATGGAATAGCAGATGGTTTTCCTGGCCACATGAGCCGACCCAAAGCTGATGCAACACCATTGACAGGACTCTTGCAAGGCCAAGCTTCAATTGTACAGCTCACTCAAGCCTCGCTATCCCAGACGGAAGCCTTCAAGAACCTTAAAGAAGATCTCCTTTTATGACCTGACCCACAAGACGAACGTTCAGACGATGAGGAGCCAAACCATGACACCATTGACCCAATGGCCACCGTGAATGCCTTGCTCGACACAAACAAAGGCACCCACGTGGCCGATGGCCAAGATCAACACTCCACGACAGAGCAGGATATTATTGATAGCCTGACTCGGGCTTTAAAATCCAAACCAAAGAAATCTCCACCTATTGACGCCAAAATCGCGTCTTTAGTCGATGACATTTTGACCGGAGATTTGTCCGCCTTCCGAGGGAGAAAGGAGAAAAGTATCCTCCTCCTGAAAATTGCAAACACCTTTAAGCTATTACTATTTATGAGGAAATTTGGGACCTCATGTCTACAAAGAACAAGTCGATAGACTTAGCTTTCAAGAAGGTACAAGAGCCACTCGTCGAGGGCTTATCGGCGCTGGCAATTTTGTCAGACTGCCTAGTGAAAGACGTCCAGTCTTCCAAGACTACAAACACACGTGAAGTTTTAAACCAAGTTATGGACGCAATTGCCATACTTGGCAATGCCAATTGGAGGCTAAACATGAAAAGGCGAGAGATTATTAAGCCTGAATTAAACTTGCCTTACACAAGGCTTTGTAAAGAGGAAATAAAACCCTCGCAAAAACTCTTTGGAGATGACCTACCAAAGCATCGCAAAGAGATGACAGACGCCAAACGCGCTGGGCAGCAGATGCAAAAAAGTAGCCAGTCTAGTAAAAGCCACAAGCAAAAAGGCCACTGATCCACGCTACATTGACGATATCTTTTCCCTTTGGGACATCAGTAAACCAGACATCGAAGCCTTCATCGAACAAGCGAACTTACATCACCCAACTATCAAATTCACGGCCGAAATATCTGACACTGAGACTGTGTTTTTACTCACGATTGTATACAAAGGCACAAGATTCAAGGAAAAATCTATCCTTGATGTAAAGACACATTTTAAAAAAACGGAAACCTTCCAGTACACACATTTCACCTCTTGTCACCCGCCGAGTGTTAAAAAAGGATTTGTCAAAGGAGAAGCCTTGAGAATCCTCCGAACAAACTCCTCAAAAACTACGTTTGAGGAAAATATTTCAAATTTCAAAATACGCTTGATTGACAGAGGCTACCCGCAAACTATGATAGAAAGCCTTCTATCAGATATAAAGTTCACAGAGAGGGAGTCTGCTCTCCTGAAACACAACAACAAAGAGGAAAAAGAAATATTGCCTTTCGTGACACAGTACCAGCCCTCAGTGTCTACTTTAAAAGAAGTTTTAATGAAAAACTGGAATCTTATACAAAACCAACCGTTACTTCACCAAATTTTCAAAGAACCACCTATCATTTCCTACAAGAAAGGAAAATCCCTTAAGGACATGCTCGTTAGAGCTAAAATATAAAAGGTTTACACAAGGTTTCATGCCGGTATAGATGTGCGGCCTGTCACCCCTTGCATTTTCTTATGGTTAAGCGCTTGTCATATTCCAGGTTCTCAAGATACTGATGCTGACAAGCAATCAAGGGTATTCAATGTATCAACTGAGTGGTCCCTATGCACTCAAGTTTTTGAAGACATTCAAAGACTTTAGGGCAAATTTGATGTAGACTTGTTTGCCTCAAGACTTAATTTCAAAATCCCTAGTTATGTCTCTTGGCGACCAGACCCCAATGCCATGTTTGTCAACGCTCTGTATATGAATTGGCACAATTACTCATTTTATGCATTTCCGCCTTTCAGTTTAATTTGGAACATGCCTTCAGAAGATTCAACAGGACCGGGCAAGAGGCGTAGTAATAGTCCCCCTCTGGCCAGCCCAACCTTGGTTTCCAGTTCTCCTTTATCTACTTACGGGCAACCCTCGGATTCTACCATGCTCCAAAACCCTCCTGACACAGTCTCACAACGGTGCACTTCACCCCTTGAGGAACCAGCTGCAGCTAATAGCCTGCAAACTCTCAGGTGAACGTTCGAAAAGAGAGGCATTTCAAGCCAAGCTACCGATATCATCATCCGATCTTGGACTTGTGGAACCCAGAAACAATATCAACCATATATCAAGAAGTGGCTTGAATTTTGTCATGGAAGGGAAAACAATCCATATGATCCACCTATAGCAACTGTTTGACTTTTTGGTGAGTCTTCATGAGAAGGGACTAGGATATTCAACCCTGAACACTGCTAGTAGTGCAATTTCTACGATTGTTCTTCCACATAACGATGTCACAATAGGGAGCAATCCTATTATCTCCAGGTTTATGACAGGAATTTTCAAAATCAACCCGCCTACACCTCGTTACAAGACAACATGGGACCCTCATATTGTTTTGAATTACCTCTCATCCCTTGGTACAGGGGACAAATTGACATTGAAACTACTGTCAATGAAACTGCTTATGTTAACTGCATTGGTCTCAGCTCAAAGAGGACAAAGTCTCCACATGTTGGATATCGGTTTATGAAGGAAGGCGAGACACAGTTTCACTTTCTACTCCCAGAACACATCAAACAAAGCAGACCTAGATATAAACTACCATCAGTTATGCTTAAAGCCTACCCCACGGATAAGACATTGTGTGTTGTTAGCCATATGAAGGAATACCTAAGGAGGACTAAGCCTCTAAGAGGAGACAGCACAAAGCTTTTCATAAGCTTTATGAAACCCCACAAGCATATCTCACGAGAAACTCTGTCCCGCTGGATTAAAACTGTGATGGAAGCAGCTGGAAAAGAAACTAGTATTTTCCATACCCACAGCACAAGGGCAGCTGCCACATCAAAAGCAAAAGCAGCATGTGTAACCATTCAGGAAATCCTGGACACTGCAGGCTATAACAAGCCTACATCTAATGAACTTACGTTTACTAACTCACCTTTAAAAAGGGATTAGGAGAATCTTTTCAGTGAACTATGTTTATTCTGTTATACTTTTGATACATCAGTTTAAGCTCCTTTTGAACCCTTATATTATGGGAGTTATAATCCAGGCATAGGTATTTACACAAGTTGTGTTTCACAAGTTGATAACTGTTACATGGACCCTCTAATAAACCTTTCATGGTTACCTCATGTGATTGCCTTGCTTTAAAATCTCATGGGATCCCTGTAGCAGTGGTTACGAAATAGAATTTGAAAATTAAACGAGACTTACCTGGAAGTGGAAGTTTGTAATTCTATTGAGTCACACACAGCCATAGAGGGATCACATGCCCTTCCCATCAACACCACTAAGGTGTTGTCTTACCCTACCTATGTGTTATCTAGTAACTTGCTGTAGCTGTACCCGTATACCATAGGCAATCACATTTCGTGCTTCAAATACTGACGTACGCATGCGTACTGCAATCCATGTGATCTCTCTATGGCAGTGTGTGACTCAATAGAATTACAATCAAACTTCAACTTCCAGGTAAGTCTCGTTTAATTTTTAAATTTTTGGGAGATGTAAAATGTGCTCAGAATGTCTTTATAAACTGTCTATTTTTTACATTGATTCATAGCGTTCTATTTTTTAAAGTAAGAGATAATTTCGGTATAGTAGCGTAGAAATTATGCGAAAAACTTGGCAATGTTTCCACTTCTTTAAAAATCCTTTTTTGTGACTATCAGGGATTTTGTATTTGAAAAGTCTTTAAACCCTGCTATATCCTGAATCCGATACCTCAACACCTAACCGAGAGATTAAAAACTGTTTTGAGTTTATTTTCCCATTTGTCAATTACAAATCCGATAGATCAGAATCAGTGTTGGTTCTAAAAATAAGTTTTACGCTATGAATCGACTCTGACTAAAAGTTAAATTCATCATTGTGATACTTTTTAATGCAAAGCACTTTGCACTACTTGTGTCAAGAAGCAAAGACAAAAACATGAGGAAATTAAACGTTGGCTGGAGGAAAACACTGAGAGTGCGAAATTAGAAGAACATGAAGAGACAAGGTGTGTTTAAATGCCTTTAAATGAAACACCGCAACGTTAACTCATTTTATTTGCCATTGCAAGTAACTGTAAAGTCTCGTGCACACAATTTCTCAAAAAATTAACACCAGTAACCCGTCGAACCGGTATAGTCTATAATCACTGGTATGACTCTAGTAAATATGTATTGTATCAAGCCGACACTTTTTATGGCGATTTTTTTTTTTTTGTATGTGGGTGTGTTTATGTGTGTGGGAGTGTTAAATTGTTAAAAAATCTTCCTGGGTTGCTATTTCATACTTACGACCATTTTTTTTGTTAATTATACTGTGTAGACTGGCAAAACGAATGGCTGCATGGCCTTGAAGAACAGTTCAGAGTTGCAATGTACCCCGATAGCTTCTAGACTAAATGCTTTTCAACGTAACATGTAGTTCAAAAGCTGTTTCATTACGGTTCGTAGCATTCTTTTCACATTTGTGTCGACCTTTTGTTCTTGATTACTCAGTCTTTAAATAGAGGTTACGTAACTACCTTTGATTATACACTATGAATAATTGTATAAATATTGACTTCGAAGCATTTTTGGCTATCTCGCCTTTTGGAAGCCGTTGTCTT